CATAAATTTGCCAACTTTATGCCTTCGTATGCCTCACATACACCTAAAACCTTCATTAAGACCTTTCCAAGGTCTTTAACCCATGCATGAGAAAATACTTCCACCAAGGCTCCATTTTTATGCATCTAAACGACCAAGGGACCTCAGATCTGCCATTCTCCTCTCATGGAGTTGCATAACTTGCTGAAATAGGTCCAAAATCCAACAAACGGACAAAACTAGAAAACCCTAGCTAGATCGAAAAATTTAAATGGAAAGTTGCAAGCTGTTTACCTCCAGAAGCCTTGCCAGATGACCCTAGTGCAGATTCTTGAAGCTGTAAACTGATGCAAGCTTGTTTAACAACTATACTTCTTGAAAGAACTCCAAAATGGCCACCAAAACCGTCTTCTTAGGCTCCAACTCTCACTCACACACTAACTCAATTGTATGAAGACGACATTGGGTTAAAGAGACTGATAGGGTTTGGTCCAAGAGGCTAAGAGATGTTTAAATAGGGGACAAGTCTGAGATTTAGGGTTTTGACCCTATGATGCGTACGCCCGGAGTACCCTCACGTACGACCAGCATACGTGAGGCTCCTCCGCGATCATTCATGTAGAGTACGCTAAGCGAACTCATAGGTACGCCCAACGTACTCAAGGGACCAATTATGCTAAAATGTAAACTCTTTAGGGTTTCAAGACGTACCAGGTTTAGGGTGTTACAACTCTCCCCCACTTGAGCTATACTCCTTTGTCAGGCTTGTTTGTGTTGTTAGAGTTGATGTGTGTAAGGAAAGCTGTCACAGCAGCTGCTACCGCAACTTGTAACGTAGTGGCGTCAATATGGAGGATAGGGATTTCGTTGCTAGGCTGACTATTTCTGGGTGACGACATGATTCTGTTACACAAAAAGAGAATGAATTCGTGAGCGAGTATGGTTGAACCTGAATCATTTTGATTCTAACTAAGAACTGAGTTATTATACATGAAAACTTAGCTTATACACGATATGATATAATCAAGAATGGGCGGATAATAAAATATGTGATTCTACTCTAGTCCCACATCGCAACGAGGAAAAGAAACTAAATTAGAAATCTCACATTCTATTGTCTACCAGTTCTTCATTATATATAACTTGGGAATGTATAAGCGAGGAAAGTCATAATAATAATCTTCTTACGAATTCTATATGATGAAGTAGAATTTCTAGTAGCGGCTACCATTGATCCTAGATGTATTTTGAGCGT